CAGCACGTAAGCCTAACTCTTGCACCTCTAACAACCAGTTAAGGGTTGAGGGTGTTTTCTATGCTTTGTGAACAAGAAATAGAAGAAAGACTTCCAGTTGAAACAGCTTTGCTAGAGAAACATTAGAATAGGCCACCATGCCTTTGGCACATTACAGGCTGCAAACCTTGCTTTTACTTAAAGCTGACGGTAATTTTGCAAATCTGTCTCTAGAGACATGAAAAGCTACAGGAAAGCAGAGCGATTTCTTAATGTCTTTTTTCATCTGTGATGCAAAACACATTTAGACTTAGAATTCAACAATCAAGAAGAACGGTGGCTGAACACTTTTCCTTGACCTTTAAAATGCAGTTATTCTCCAAATCAGTAACCAAATGCACACCTTTAAGGAAGCTTACAGGTGTGCGTTGTCCAAGCATTTCACATCATCAGTCTGCGAAGAAGTGTCTGTGTCAACTGGAAGTAAATAGAAGGTGGGCTATTTATGCCTGAAAAAAATCACCAGTGCTGTTTTTATAAGTGGCCTTGTATCAGTAAAGACCAAGACCCTCAAATTGTACCCTGCTATTGAATATTTCAAGGCCTGCTTAAACAAGTAAAGCTATTTAAACATGTTAGAATTCCTCTCTCACGCTGATGTGAACAAACGTGTATGAATGTATGCTTGACTTCTTAAATCTATTCATTGCTGAGAACAGTCTTGTAAGACACTGAACAGAAATAATTGCTTATCAGCAAAAATGATCCTGCTCCCACTCCTTTAGGAACTTCTGGTCTCATATTTGCAATTGGAGCAATCTTGCTTCAAGTGCTATGTCTGTAACCTCTTCCAGAGAAAAGGGTTAAGGTGTGGAAAAGGTAGCTACGGAGGGAATGCTCTGTGGCCTTTTCCAGCACCATGTAACGGGTTCAGTAATCTCACTGCTGGCCACTAAGCTTGTTATAAATCAGTTGAGGTACAGAAACAACTATGTCTAAGCATCTTCTCCCCACGCTTTCAATGTGCTATGAAGTTGATGAAATAGGAGTTAATTTCCAACTGAGCCCAGAAGCCTGGTCCAGCTTCTGGTGCCCTAGAAAATTCCAGTCACTCAAAATTTGGCAAATAAAGCCCCTCTCTGGCTTGCAGAAAACCCAGGGATAATTTAAGACTGTGCCCAGAAACCATGTGGTGTTTTCTGTGCTTTCCTGCGTGGCTGTGACTGGCTTTTTGCGTGGAGTTTAGGGGACTTTTAAATCTTATTTCAGGGCCATTTTGGCAAAATCCATCCATGGTTAATAACTCATTTATGGTCCCTCGATTCTGACACTAGCGTAAGCTACTCTAATGTCAGTTGTGCTCCTCTGCTGTAGTAAGATCTTTTATGTCTCAAGCAGGTGCTTCATGTTACTTGCTGCTCACTCCCTGTTGGGCCTTGGTACTGGATAGAAAATGGACTGCAAAGCTGTTTCAGTTTAGTATGAATAATTCTTTCTAGGGGGGAATATCTGGAAAGTGGAATGGGTCTGAATTGACTTCCCTGATAATAGGGATTCGAGGAGGAGGAAAGAGAGGAAACAATCTAACACATAATGCCTAGTCAGTGCAGCCACTTATGCAAATCATATAATACGTAAAAAGTGCCCTTTGCAATAAAACATTCCCCCAGAAAAAACCTCGAGTCCAGAAGCTGTGGTTTTTCTGGTATGCCACGTGTAGAAAGCAATTGAGTGTCTTGGCTTTTTCTCTTGTTTGAGGCAGGGAAACGTCCGATGCGTGGTTTCATGCATTCGAAAACGAGAAGGAGCTGAAGTCACAATGTAAACATGACACACTTCGGTCTTTACCCATATCTTATTTTTTCCACACAGAAGCGTCAGGTGGGTCCAGGCCCGGATGCTTTCCCACATGAGTGAGCGCTGGCTCCCTTGGGGGGACTGGACGTGTAGTGTTGAAAGTGAAGAAGTTAAAGTTTTGATGGATTTCAGTTTGTCTGGTGAATAAGGGACAATCATTTGTAGTCCTCGACATGGTGGCTTCACCTTGCCGGTCTGTCTCAATAAGCATGTCTCATAAGGAAGAATCATTCTCACGAACCCATATGCTTTCTTTTGCTGTACTGCATTGCAGCAAACACGCACTGTCAGAGAATTGGGGTGCAGCTTTGTTCTGACCTGTTATCTTCTGATGCATTATCAGTTTATTGATGATTTTAAAAAGTCAACATATTTGGGTTCTCTGTTTTGCCCAGGTTATTCAGGTATGCCTTTCAGATGTAGTTCTTTTGTCTGGGTGCTGGATTTTCCATGTGACAGCGAGGGCAGGTTTTTCCAACTAGCGCAGAACCAGTGAGCCTTTTTCTAGACCACAGGCTCCTGCTGTTGTGGGGGCATGTACCCAGCTGTCTCCATGTTTCCGCTGGTCGTCATGAGCTTCTGCGCCGTATCTCAAGCAAAGCGTTATGTTGCTTGCAGGAGAGGGCAGAAATAAAGCTGTGAAGCTCACTGGAGAAATTTAGAGTCAGCAAGCTCTGTGCTGAAAGGGGGTAGGGCACTTGTGTCCAAACCTTGTACAGAAAATACCTGCATAGCTCCCATGCTTTGCCCATACTGCTATTCCGTTTTCCCTTGGACATGGTTATTGTTTCACCGCAGAGGGAAAGGCAGATTTTTCTTTTTTCTGTTGAAATTGAGTGGCTAAAGCAAAAGCAAATGATATTAGTTTGAAGGAGCAAAAAACTTTTTCTTGTAAGATGCCTTCCCTCGCATATATTCAAAAACCCAGCACGCTGGGGCAGAGAAGTTTCGCATGGTTTGGGCTTCATTGACTTCATATATCTGCATCATGCTCTGGGAGGACCTTTGTTCAAAGCATCGTTTCTTCCTGATTGAGCAATTGGGGTAATGAGTTTGCTTCCTCAAACAACTTGTTTGAGACTCTGTGCTAGTTTATCTCATGGTCCTGTACGGTGCTATTCAGCATGAGCTCGGAAATCAGTGTATGTTGCTCGAGCAAGCACTCACCACTCAAGCCGACAAGGGTCTAATGCTTTACGAGATGGGCATTAAGGTCTCGAAGCAGGTCCCTCTCCATCCATGGTCAGCAGCATCCGGGCTGCTGTCTGCTCAGAGGTCTGTAGTGATTTTGATTTGGTGAAGATCCAAAGTATATGATAGCAGCTGAAATTCCTTGACACGATGTTGGTAAAATCAGAGCGGTCGTGGTGGTTGTGTCAGTAAAACAGCCACCAAGCAGCAGAATTTTGCTTGACCACCAGCTTGCTTTATGTGGAGGGGACAGCTTCAATACAACAGTCTTTTCCTTCAGGTTTGTTTTTGTTTCTTTGTGGCAATAGGTTCTAGCTGGTTCATCATTCCTGGTATCACCAGAAGAACCACAGGTTGTTTTTTTGTGCTCTGTGCATGGTGAAATTCTCTTCTTTGCCAATAAACGTTTTTTAAAAATCCCAACTGTGCTGTTGGTTGATTTGTATTAAAGACTGAAGGTCAGAGATATCTGGTAGGTAAAATTCCCCATTAACTTTTGTCCTCTTCCAGTCTCATGACTGTTCATCTTTTGGTGTGTTCTTTTATTTCTCTTTTGGAAACTGATCCTTCAGGACAGTCATTGTGTTAATTATATTTAATGAAGAAACCAGAGTTTCTAGTGGTGTCTCCCCTGAGTATTTTCAGCAAAATTTCATTAGGCACCTTCAAAAAAAGCTTCCATAATTCTCGGTTTTGCTACAAGAACTGGTCCCTTTGGGGAACCAAAATGCTGCTTTAAAAACAAACAAACAAAACATACAAACAAAAAACCCCAAACACTCATCTTGATAATAAATTCAAAGCATCTAGTCCTTTGTTTGTAATCTACCTCAGTCACCTAATTCCAGATCAGCAGAAGATGCTATTGAGATGTTCCCCTGTAGCATACCAACAAGTTGAGAGTTGGAGAAAGGTGCAGGCTGCCACTCTGTCTGGCAAAACCCTGTTTCCTACTTGAAATTCAAGTATTGAGAGCAGAGCATTTCAGACCTCCAGCTGACCCTCGCGCAAGGATGATCGAGGAAGGAAGGGACTGGAAGGCAGACAGCCAACCATCGTCACAGTATTACTGCTCCTTTGTGTCACCTTTTCCTGACTTAAATTTTTACATGAGGCATCGCACAGTTTGTTTTGAGTCTTGATTTGGTCGTACAAGACCACTGTCAGTGGTGAAACACGAAGATCGGACCAGGCTATGCTTAGGTTACGTGAAGCGCACCTTTTTCTGTTCTCTCTCACTTTGGCAATGTCACTTGTCACAGGCTATATGCTACTAAAAAAAAAAAAAAAAAAGGAAAAATGGTCACCAAAACTGCTTGCTCAGTGTTGCAGGATTTGTGTCAGAAAACTAACAAACAGGAAGTGACGGGCAGATGTTTCCTGTCAATACAAAGAGTCTCTGAGATATTGCAGAGAGCGAGCGTGTTGAGTTAGCACGTGGCAAGCTACATAGTAGAAGATGCTACATTCCTTTAAAAAAAATAGTGCTGAGTTGGATTTTTTCTCTGAGTTTTTTTTTTTCTTCCTTAAAAAGCTACCTGTTCCTCAGAGGCAAGGAAACAAAATCGAAGGAAAAGAAATCTCGTTAACATGCTACTTGCAGTGGTGCTGAATGAATCAGACCGCGATGCTCCCGCCAGGTGGTCGGGAGAGGAAAGCGTCGCATCGTTCCGGTTCTTTTCCGACGGGGTGACGGGATGAGGTGCTGTAACAGTCTCGGGATCGGTCGGCAGTTGATCGCGTCACTTGTTCTGTGTCACGAGTTTTTTTCCGCTTCTCCTTCCCCCTGCCCTCTGCCTCACAACGCACAGCCCTTGCTCCCTCTCTTTCCAGCGTCCCCCTCTGCGCACTGGGACGCTCGCTCAGGGAGGAACGTGTCGAGAGCAGGTTGGTTTCAGGAAGGAGAGTTAAAAAAAAAAAAAAAGGAGAAGGCCGAATGAATGTTAAACCAGCAGCAGGAGAGGATATTTACAGCTATCCACTAACAGTTTTGGTAGGTTAGGATGTCTCCTTTCCCCTCCCGGCCTCTCCCACCAACCTGCCGCCTACGGGCAAGAGGGACTCGTGGAGCTCTCCAGGGAGGACTGGGAGAGGCGGCGCGTCAGAGGTCCGATGCTGGAGTCTGCCAGCGAGGAGGTGGGGAAGAGTTTATACCAGCCTGTGACCACGCTGGAGAGATCGAGCTCCTCCAAGACGATCTGGGCCATCCCCATGAAGCACTTGTGGTCCATGCGGCCATAATCACCCCACACAATAACCTATGGAGGAGGAAAGGCAGTAGGTGAGCTGAGCTGCCCTGCATGCCAGGCAGGAGGGTTGGGGAAACCTTGGCAGACTCGATGTGCCCGTCCAGAAAGGAACTGCTGCGATGGGGATGGGGTGGCTGTGGTCTGAGGGACAGCAATACGTTTCAAGATGAGGACACTGGGTTTCTATATCCTGCCCTCGCTCCCCCAGTCCCTCCTTGTCCCTGACTATTTATCCAGCTGAGGGGCTTCACCTGCAGGACTTTGCCTTGGGGGCTCTCCTCGAAGAGCAGAGCCTGCTGGTACAGCGGGTCGCAGGTTTTCTTCACCACCTTGGTCTTCTTTTTGGCGAGGCAGACTCCATTCTCCAGTAAATAAACTTTCACATAGGTGGCTGCGTTGGCAAACGGGAGAGAAACATCAACTCAGAACAGTCTCCTGTGACTGCCCCGATGACCACGCTGCTCTCCATCGCCGCTCTCCTTCCATCTCCAGCCCCCTTCCCACCTACCTACCTGGGACGGACTTGGAGCCCAGCTTCGGGATAAGCCCCCTCGCCTGAATCACCTCCACCTCCAGCTGCCCATTCCGGTCAGCCATGCCCACGTGGATGTCACCTAGGCAGAGAGAAGAGAGGTGCTCAGCACCATCCTGGACCTGCTGGCTCCCACCCAGACAAGCTGTAGCCATGGGCTGGACCACACGCTCTCAAGTACAGTGCTGACAAGGAGCGGGCAGGAGAAGTCATCCCCGGTGCTCCGACAGCCCTGGCACCCCCCGTCCCACCACCTCCTTCCATCCTCAGCTGCTCTAGCGTGCCAGGCACCCCACGAATGGGCACTTGGTTTATCGGAGGAAGGACAAAGCAGAACTGGTGTGCAGATGATGCTTGGATTTGAGCAGCGAGGCACCCGGCGGGACCCCAGCGGGGCCGGGGACCCCCTCGGGCCGGCGCTCACCCATCGGCG